TCACCTTTCTTCTATTTTAGAACTCTTGACTTTGACTGCATGTGACCACAGTGACTGATGAAGTTAAGAAATAACAAGATCACAAAGAAAAAGAAAAAAAGACAACTTAAAAGACATATTAGTCAGAATGTCTAAACTTATGTTTTGTGTAACATTTACCTGCACCAGCAAATTAACATTATTGACAGGAAAAGTCTGTATTAAATATTAAGCATCCATCCCTATTAGTTAGGGAGAGAGGAGAAAGAACTCACAAACGCTCCAAGACATGAAACAGCAAAGATGCCTTAAGGAAAAACACCATAGTGTTCAGGCAGTCTTTATAACCTATAACAGCAATAAGAGGCAATTACTTCCCCCTTTTAATCCAGCACAAATAGCCTTTAAGTAATTCTTACAGTATGTCAAAAGAATAAATATATTTCAGACTGTTCCTGAAGGAATACTATCAGCATAAGTAATATTTCTTTAAATTTCTTTATATTACTAATTTGAGTACTGAAGAACACGTTTTATCATTCACCATCATCCCATTTTACATATCTTTGACATTGAAGAGACATTAGTCAGTTTCACTTATCCATGATCCAGGCACTAGGGGGTGATTTAAGCAATTAAAAAATATTAGAAGCAAATGTACTGTAAAACCCTCATTTAAGTTTTTGAATCTCAGTTTGAGGTTTCACCTGACCCAGTCTTGAACATTTAGAGGCTTGTTTTGCATAAAGCTTTAGGTGGCCTCAAAAGATAGACTATCAACATCATGATATTTACCCCTATTACTCTTAACCTCCGTTTTACTTCCAATTTCTTTACATTAGCAAACACAGTTAAGGAAATTTAGTCACTGACATCTCTGATTCTCTGCAATAACATTAAAACAACAGATTTTAAGAGCCAGAAAAGGCAGTTATGCCATCTACACTAACTTTATCTCCTGTATGTCACAGGCTGATAGAACTTTTATCTGATATTGGCTTCATGCAGTGTCCCAAAGGCTATGTATACTGTTCACCATCAAGTAGGTGATTTGAGTCAGGAGGTAAAACCTATGGAAAAAAAATCTAAGTTTTTCAACTACTTACAGTATTCCTACAGATGCTGCAACCTCACTCTTTTTTCACGATTGACCTAGGGTATTGACTAGCACCAAGGAAAACAACAATCCACCCATTGGAGGGGACCTCAGCCTTAACCTTACAGTCCTAGCTACTTAAGGAGGCCAAAAATAAATTCACATTTGAAAAGAAAACAAGGAGATACAGCTACACATGGCAGCAGGAGGATGCAAGGATAGGCAGAAAGGAACTCAAGCTGGGATACACTGGGAGGACATAACACTGTAGGAGAGAGTTAGCAACAGCAGGATGTGATGGATTCGCACTTTTTTGGGGCCTGCCCAAACACTGAAACATTTCTGGATGATAGCCTCTTTCTAGGCATGGTGAGTAATCATAACTTTTACATTTGCTAGAAAGAAGAAAAAAATATTACAGAAATATTACCTTTGAAGGCAGATATTTTACAGGGGGGACGGCATGATAAAATACCCCAAAGCTACAGCACTTAGGCCAGCTGGAAGCCCCTTTTAAGGGTCTCTCTTGAACCCAGTCCTATTCCCATCTGGATTCACTTGCCATAGCAGCAACAGTGACACACTATGCCCTTACTGCAAACCCAACCACCTACCTGTGCCGATGCTCATCATGTCCTTGCCCATGGATGAGGAAGCTTCCGAGGTTTTTGCCCCCTTTGCTGGTATCCACGTGAGGAATTAGCACGTCCTCCAGACCCAGGTCAAAGCGTTTGTGCTTCGAGGAGTCGGGCAGGAAGAAGAACGCCCCGAAGCACAGGGTGATGAAGGCACTAAGAATAAGGAGGAGGATAAATTTTTCGGAGAGTCTCAAGGTAGCCCTGTGGTGCGGGAAGGAGGAGGTCCCCAGGTTCAGGGGGGGCAGTCTCCGCCCGGACAGCGGCAGCAAGGCGGGAGTGGTCATCCTTCCTTTAACGACCACCTGGCGGAGCACGGCTCATCTCCCGGCGCGGCGGGCAGGGGGGCAGGGGCGGCACTCC